TTTGAACACAAGAAACGCATCTGTCCTTGTTGCACATTACAACCCTCTTTGTCTAGGACCGTTCATATAGTCTGTCCTTGCCGCATAATCTTGTGTTCTTTGTCTAGGGACAAACCACGTAATGCCATCTATCCTCGGATGCCCCAAGTCGCTGTTCCTTCCGCCTTCGGTAGATGGCAGCACATGGTTTGTCGCACAATCTTGTATTCTTTGTCTACGGACACTTCATGTGGTGCCATCTATCCTCGCATTCCCCAAGTCGCTGTTCCTTCCTCCTTCAACAGATGTCAGCACATGGTTTGTTCGCAGAGAAAGAGCGCAAACTTGTGCGATAAGGACACGAATATAATATACACATATTAGGCAGAGGAAGCGATACTGTGCAATAAGGACAGATATATATTTATTGTTACACGAAGATAGCGGTAGTATACGGCAAAGATAAACAATACGAGCAATACTAGACGAGAAGGTTTTGCAACGTGCGAATTTTATTGACAAGAACTGTTGAGTCAAACATGGCTGTTCTAAGCAATGGTTTGTTGATGTTTTTTAATTTTCTTCCAAACACAACTTCAAATGCAACTTTTAAAATACAAAATTTGTGGCATGCGAATTATGCAGAAATAAGTTTTCAATTGTTACGAATCTGGGCTTCCAGAATTTCTGCTTGGACGATCTAGCATACAACATAAGTCTTAGGTAACGCCAAGCCATCCAACGCGCCTAATACTAGGCAACTCTCCATCCGCCTTTCATTTTTCTTCCGTCCCACTTATGCAAATGTCTATATATACTCATTTATAGCTTTAAGACGGGTTGTAAACGAATTTGTAAACGTAATTTATAAGAATTTCATTATAAAAGTATAGCAAGACTTACATTATTATGTATATACATTTAGACTATCGTATTTTTTCGCATATTAATTACTTTTAAGTAGAATTGAATCAATTATTAATGGTTAAGAATATCATGAGACGCACAGAGTTAAGCTATATTATTATTAAGTTATATTAATATTCGTAATAGAGTTTATACAATTTATATAATTTGTACACTGTACATTACTGAATTATTTCAGTAAACGTTTAATTAAAGTTAATCAGCAGTTTAATCATTTCATCGCCTGCCCAACTATCGTAGTATGGCCAATCCTAATCCTTTAACGAGAAATAAGGTGGCGGAACTGTAAAACAAAGCTCTAAAATTCGAATCTCGAAAAATAGCCTTGTTCACCATTGAGTTCGCGTAATTCGCGACGAAAATTCTCGCTATTATTGGAAATGACGTCACATTCCAGGCTTTCGTCAAAGTTGATATTTTCGATCAAATTGTAGGACCGCTTTTGCGATTTTGTATCAGGAAAACATGACGTCACAGGAAGTGGCACGAATCCGGCGATTTTTGGAAATGACGTCATATTTAAGGAATTCTGGCGATTCACGAACCAAGGTTTTCGATGTTTTTTTATCAGGAAAACACAGGACGTCACAGGAGGTGGAACAAATTCAGCGATTCTGGAAAATGACGTCATATCCAAGAATTGTGGCGATTCTGAAAAATGACGTGACATTCTAGGAATTTGCCTAAATTTTACTTCAATTTTCAAAGCTTTCGAAGATTTCTTATCAGGAGAACATGACAGCATAGGAGTTGGCACAATTTTTACGATTCTCGGAAATAACATCATACTCCTGGAATTTTTCGGAATCGTCTTGAGTGATCCTAATTATTTCCCAATTTAATCTTTTGTTTTGTTTGGGATTTCGGATAGTGAAAAATATAAATAACAAGATTGTAAAATGCTGTTAAACTATTCTGATTTATTGAAACTCTTTTTAAATACACTTTGTATAATTATTCTACAATTAACAATCTCATTTTTGATTTGTATTATATAATGATTTCCAAGAAGATCATTGCTTGTTTGTTGTTGCTGGCTGCTTGCAGCATCTTGGATGTTGTTTCTTCTCTCAAAACAGCTTTTCTGTAATGAACATAGAAAAAACAATTTATTCCTAATGTTCAATTAAGGTTTTAAACAGTTTATATGTTTTTTATATATAGCATATTAACAAGAGTAATACTACAGATATAATACCACAGAAGTATTTTTATAAAAGTAATTATGTATATGTGAATGAAAAGGATATCTCCAATAAAAAAACTATTTTGATAACTACTGGGAAAAGATAATTATACAGAACCTGGCATATTCTACTATAACTGCAAGATATTCTATAAAGCTTACTTTGTAGCAAGTTGTTTTTGCAAAAATGTTAGAATATGAATTTCATCATAATGTAAACTAGTGAATGTAGAAATAAATAATCACGATTAAACTCTAGATATTGATGCAAATTCACATTTTTGAGAATACAATTACAAAAGTAGAATCTCAATAGGAAATTGTTTTATCTACCAAGTATTATAGGAAACACTCTTACCATTTTCATGTCACTTGAGTGTTTATCCATGCCAGTATATATGTATAATGTCACGCTCATATATTATCACGTCTATCTTGTCTTTAGTCAATGCCTCAAACATTCAAACCTTACTTTCCCTCTTGCTAATTTCCAATCACGATTAACCATTAACTTACTTGTCTGTAACATTGACTTTTTAATTATAACTAGTTAAAGAATACGAATAGTTTATGACAATCGCAAATTGACGTGAATCGCATCTACGAGGTGCGTGTGATTCTTGTTTAAGAAAAAAAAACAATGTCTAGCGAAGATACATGGAAAAATGAAAAACAAAATAAAATAGCGATTTTTCTAAAAAGGCATAATTCTTTTATTTTAAATTATTATTACGTAACGGATCGTAATATTACTTTAAACAGTATACCATCTTTATCATCTCTTAATGCAAATGGTACCAATATGATGTCACATAGAAGATCAAAGAAGAACATATAAATCTTATGTACTAGACTACTCTTAATATATATATATATACATGTATATATGTATATACATACATATATATAATATAATGGAATTTTTTCATGTTCAACTCCTATTAGCACGGTTGCCCCATCCTCTTCTGTGTGTATCTTTATATTCATCCATGGCACGTAATTGTCTCAAGGTTTCTGGATCATCAGCTTCGATCGTTTCTTCTTTTTTGATATCATCTTCTTCATTGTTCATTCCTTGTCTGTTTACTAAATCTTGCAAGCATTTTGAATTTGTTTGATGCTGTTGCGAAGGATCGGGCCAGCTAAGATAAAAATACATTGAAATATTTGTTAAATCTTAATTAGTTAAAAGCATTGATGTACAACTGTGCAACTTTCTACTTACTCTCCTTCTTTCACTCGTTGATCATAAAATTCTTGAACAGTAAGAACAGGTAAACTAGGATAACCAACTCCAAACACCTTTTTCTCTACTTCATCTCGAGTGATAATAATTGGTTGCAGTTTTGGAGCAGGTGGTTTACGTTTTTGCGAAATCTGGGTGGACATGGTTCCAGATTTTCCCATGTTTTTCATATGTTCCAAAATTGGCTTTTCGGCTGCTAACGAGTTCAGTTCTTCTATTGTCAAATTTACGTATAATTTGATAAGCATTACGAAATATTCTCTTTTAACCTCATCATCTATGTTTGGATCTGACAGACTTTTCTTTAAAATTTCCAAACGCGATTCCAACTCTTTTTGCTCCTTGAATCTCTGTAGTTTCGTGTTTCGTCGATTTACCTACAAATATAATACATATGCATGTAGTAGATGTATCATTATGAAGAATATTTTAACAGTAATGATCTTCAGAGACCTGTAAACCTAGAATAGACTTACCATTTCGGTAATTAATTCAGCATTCGTTCGAACTCTCTCGGATACGCTTTCTTTCTCACGCTCCGGATTAATATCGGGCACTTCGATGTTGGTCAAACCATAAGTCTTAACGCGTTTCAAAAAATCCACGAAATAAATTTCAGCTACGTTAACGATGTGCAGTCGATCATCTGCATTACAAATTTTTGTAGCGAGTGTACCGAGGAACGCTGGCAGTAAAAAGTATTTGATGTTTTCCGTAGCCACTTCTTCGAAACTTTCATTTTGGCTAAACATATCGACTATAGAAACTAGTCTTGTAGCTTGTTCTAACATATTCATGGTACGTTTGATATCAGACTGGCATATAGCAAAAAGAAATAAAAAACATGTATTATGTATGTACGTAGGAAAAATACAAACTGTTTGTGCGCATTTAAAAATTTGTGATATTTAATTCGAGCGCAGGATTTTTATGAACAACTGTATTTCCGACCAAAATTTGGAGAAACGCAATTTGGGGAGCAAAGAGAAGATCCTAAAAAGAATTATACATAATTGTTGACAATTAGTACCTGAATTTTGGAACTGTTGGTAGGTTCGTCTGTTTTATTGATATTATTAAATAGCTCAAACGCTTTGTCGAATAATTCTGATAGCGTTGCAGCATCTCTCCCGTCATTTTCTGAACTCGACAAATTTTCTTCCGACATCACTATCGTTTTGACAGCTGTCGTTTGATACGTAACGAAGATTAAAAAGGTTATGTATGATTGTACGATCGTACAACGCAAAACAAGCATAACATCCTGAAGTTGTAAGCATAGCGTAATCAACTTCGATAACAAAAACAAGATATGTATCGATATGTTTGGCGGTTTGGTTCAAAATGTTTCAATCTGAAAACGATTCAATGTCAGGATATAAATAAATTAAACACAAGTTTCTTCTTTTGATCTATTCTTTTTTCTCTCTCATTTTAGTTTTATTTCCATATGTTTACACGATTATTCTTTGTTTACCAATTTCGGAGCTAGTTTAAATGTAAATACATTCTCTTTCATGATTGTATGATTACATAAGTTGATTACGTCGTTAAAAGTCACATTTAAAATAAATAAACATAATTTCTATATTAAGAAAATAGAGAGAGAAAGAGAGAGGGAGGGAGAGAGAGAGAGAGAGAGACAGTAAATAATTGTTCCACTAATAGGTGAAAAAATCGTTGTATCGATCGCAATATTTATAAGTAATTGACATCCTTTGCGAGGTTGAAATATCTTCCCTATAGATTTTTTAATCGCAGTAAGATGTATACTTGAAACAACAGGTTGCTTCCGTTTTTCATAAATTGAGCTATTTACAAATCGTGCGAATCTCTTATGATCCAACTTCATGTGTATAAAGACTGAAGGGTAGCTCAAAAGTATAACTCAAAAAATTTACAACTATTGCGATAACGCCTTGCATTGTTTACAATTTTCCATTCGTTCATCGAATTCCTCTATTTGAAGCGTCATTTCGAAAAATTTGTACTTATCGTGAATATTTCTAGTAGCAGTACGCAGTATATTGTGAGGACTCGCACCTGGTTCTTCATAGGAAAAAATGAAAAAGAAAACAATTTGTTTAGACTGAAACAAAAACTGAAACTGCTAATGAAACAAGAGCTCGAATGCGCTTACTTATTGCAAGATGCGCGGATAACGCGGTTTTATCCAGTGAAAGCGCCCAGATACGAAGATTATGCACCTTCATCACACCTTCGATTTGCATAAATGTACTCTCCACTTGGGAATATTCAAATCCTTTTGGGATTCCTTCCATTAAAACGTTCATCACGTCTTTGATTATTGCAACCGTGGTTAATATCACCAACAGTGAAAAGAGGAAAGTGCAAATTGGATCGACTATGCTCCAGCTTGGCTGTAATTGTTACCAGTGTGTATTAATTTCGCGTTCATGAGAAAATATTGGGAAAAACTATTGCGTACATATGCATATATAGCTATACCTTGAAATAAATAACCAATGCTGCAACGAAAACCCCTATGCTTTGTATGAAGTCTCCTAAAACGTGAATAAAAGCAGCGCGAACGTTGATATTTTTCCTCTTGTGTAACGGATTTTCCTCATCGAGTCTCCCGCTGTCTATATTTCGATTCGGTTTGTCTGAACCATGTCCATGACTATGGCCGTGCTCATGCAGCGATAAACCCATTCTGCAATATAAAAATTGTATCGATGTTACTCAAAATGTATTACATCGTGACTGCGATTGATTTGATCTATCAGTTCGACAATTTCAATTGAGTATAATATATCACTAACACTAGATTTACCGCAACGCCAACGCCAGAGGTAATCAACATGACGGTGGTATCTAGTTGGAAACTTTTGTGAATTATTCTCTCGACTGCCAGATAAAAAAGAATTCCAGTAACTACCCATATTAGTAAAACCGACGTCAAGGCTCCTATCACCTGCGAATAACGATGAACATATTATTGATGGTGTGCGTACGTGCACGCGTGCGTGCATACGTGCGTGTATATGCGTCTGCTAGCAAGAAACGAAAGAACGAGAGAAGACAATGGAATAATAATCAATTTTGAAATAGCAAATCTTTTACACCTACTTCCGCTCGATACCATCCAAAAGGCATTTTTTTCGTGGCTGGTCTACTAGCTACCCATATCGAGAATAAGGAGATCATAAACGATGCAAAATCGGTTAACAGGTGCGCAGCATCTGTTGCGATCGCCAAACTGTTCGATAATACTCCACCTGAAAAGCCGAGCGATCGTTCCATTTAAAAATAATCATTAGCTTCATTTTTTATCTAATTTTCTTGAACATTTATCGTACAAGTATTTCGCTCTTACATCTACATGATGATTACCTACGATTTCTGCTATCATAAAAATTACGCACAGCGTACTAGCAAGCAGTAATTTCTTTCTCGCCTTTTTATCGATCTCTTCGTCCCTTTCTCTGTGACAATGGTCTTCTGGTACAGCTAGAAAAACATTTAACAGAAAAATGATAAAGATAAACTTTTTATCAGACATTGATCTGACAGAATTTTGGTCGGAAGATAAATGTCGGGACAATACGGTCGCTGTGATACACCAAGACAAACATGTGAATATACTAAAATTACGCTAATGTTCCGCTTGAATTAGCTACCGGCTTTATAAATTTTCTTTATAAATTTTTGAGACTGCAGGTTCAGGTGGAAAAAAAAAGTCAACTTTGTTACATTAAACGTCGCTTGATTCACATATACGAGCAATAACGTTTATGTGGTGAAATCTGAAGAACTAGGACGCAAGGTAAAATAAAGAGGGTAACTTGTAGAAGTAGGACGATCTAGAAATTGATAACGCTAAGGAGCTGTAGATAATCGATAAATCCATTTAGTATTATAAATAAGAAGATAGCCTCTATAACCATTCGCCTGACCTGGAAGTCGATAGGATCTAAATTTGGAAGAATCTTACCGGAAGGAGTTTGTTGGAAATCGGATCCGTTGATGCCGGTAGCGGTGACATTAACTGCAGTCGCCGCTGTTTCGCTAATTTCATCGACCGATGTAGCACCGCCCTTCACAACCGTACAACAACCAGAAAGCTTGCCGTGCACGCAAAAGATCACCTTCCTCGACGAGGTCTCCTCGTTCTCATCCATCTCGTTGTTATTCGGTGGAATGCTCGTCCCATATCCGTATACAGCCTTGTCTTCGAATCTAACCAGTAAACAAAAGAACCAATTGATTTCTGTCTTCTATCGTGCTCGTATATTGTTGCAGCCACGTGCAGTAAAACAGAGTCGATGAACGTGGCGATCACGTACGCGATCAATTCCGTGGAAATGGTTTCTGTCAAGTTATGGAACGCGGGACTCGTAATACATTCTGGTTTCTCTTCGTTTTCATGATATTCTATACCGTTATCGTCCATCTGCTTTCGTCACTACTATTTGCACACTACTATTACCAATTAGATAATCGAAACTAAACTATTCTTACGATCCTCTGGCCCGTAATGTTTTCCTCTCTCCTTGTTTCCGTTCACGCGGAAGATAACTGCAAACGAACGTTAACGATTACAACCGAATTTATTATCATACTTAATCATTGCTTGATTTCTAATTACACTATTGCCATTTTATAATCTAAATCGGAGATTTATCACGCAAACGGATCAAGTCGAAAGTACGAGGTTCTCGGTTTTCGTTAGAAAATCGAGGAGGATAGAAGAAAAAAAAAGAAGAAGGAGAACAAGAGAGATATAGAACATTCCAGACGCGTGTGAAGGGGGCTTAAGGCGGTGGAGCTCGATCGCTTAATCCCGCTTTGGCCCGATCTGTGTCGAGCGTCCCTGAACGCGTTATCGTGAGAAAAAAATTTCATTGTCGCGAATAACTTCTATGTAGATAGATCAAAGCAGAAATAGATAGATACGCATTTGCACGTCTCTCTTGTTTCGATCGTTTGCTGAAAAATCCAGCATTATTTCCACGTATAGATATTATAGACACATAGACCGATAGAGAAATATCGTTGTTTACTATTGTTATCTATTGTTTATCGATCACGATATTTCTTATTGTTTCTTGTTTTTTTTTGTTTTTTTTTTGTAATTAGAGTGGTTAAAGATTGCCGCCTAAAATTCAAAGGGGAAAACTCGCGCGAGATAAGATCGAAAGTAGGAGAGCGCGGCGCAAGCAATTCAGGGAGAAAAGTCGGCGATGAGGTGGAAACTCCCGCTTACGTGAGATCGCGCGTGATCCTCTTAACGATCGTTATCGTTTCTCACGTAGCTCGCTATCTAACAAGATATCATCGAGGATAACATGTGCAAATGCGCATTCGTTAAATCGTTATCCGTAAGAATGACTTCTCGCGACAAAAATTCTGCGATTCCGGCTAACAGTAATGCCGTGTGCAAAATCATTCGGACGAATAATACATACACGGTATTCAGGACCGTGTTATACGCGACATATACTTTAATCACACTGATTGCTTCTTCCAATTATATTTGATTGGATTGACTTCCGGTATTTCTTGTATTCTTGTCTAATAATACTAAAGATACAAAGTGGTAAGACGAATAGAATTTTTTGTAGCGACATGCGTCTATTTGCTCGCCAATTCGCTTTTCGAGTTATCTCAAAGTATTACCATTCCGAGATTTACAACTTACAACGAGATTTACTGCAAATGTAGCTAAACGTCAGGTGATCATGACCGACTGCGCATAAATAGCAAACGTACAGTCGCATCTCTGTCACGTTCAAATACCGTGTGAAGTACCCAAATATTTTTTCTTCTCCTTTGCGATAGATAGATGAACGAAATTCACTTCCTGCTTTATAGTATAACATACGGCATGGCTGTCAAGACACGGACGCGCCTTCGAGTTTGATTTTATCGGTATCGAAGTTATGGTGAGTTGAGCATGTAGAAATGATGTAAGAGAAAAAGTGATTTAAAAAAACAAATAATTGCTCGAAAGTAAACGGAATAAGTGCTCGGAAGTCGTAGAATTTTGATAGAAGAATTTAGCGTAAGCAGAGAGGTCGAATGTTTCTCCTATGTAACAGAGAAACTAAATAATTAATAATATCGTTGTTCCATTTCTTTAATGAAAGATGTATTTTTGGTAAAAATCATTCGCCAGGATACCGTGACGATCTTTGTAAGAACGAACGTGTAATGATAGCGCGCGGTACGCTGCGCGACGACGTGATGCGACGCGGTGAATTTACTAGGTGGGAAGAGGTGGGAGAGGCGATTCGATCCGACCCGATCCGAATCGATCCGATCGAATTCGAAAGGGATGTTCGAACTCACAGCTTGATCCTTTCCTCGTCCATGATCCTCGTGCTGCGGAGGACTGCGTGTATGTGTGTGTATGCGTGTGCGTGCGAGCGTGCGGTAGACAGCAGCGCTGATCGTGACGTGCAATGAATAACCAAATCAATTCACCGTTCGGTAGATCGATCAAAAATATGTTAAAGAAAAGCAAAAGGGAGAGAAAACGAAGACGCGACGTCGCGACGCGGCGCGGCGCGGCGCGGTGGTCAAACCGAACCGATGGGAGCGATACGAAGCGATGCGACTCGTGGCGTAGCGAGGCCAGGTGAGCCGACCCGGGGCAACGAAAAACGGACGCGACGCGAACATACAACCGAAAGTCGACAATTGTATTAAGTCCTCGGCCGATCAGAGATACGTGAATAGCCCGTGCGCGCGTCACTAGTTGTATGAACAACGCAAACCGTTTGCCACTTCATCCCGTCTTTTAGTAGAAAACCCACTGTCCAGCCTCGTCCGTTTGTTTTACCAGATAGCTTAACTCTCGATCAGTTTCTCCTCGGCTCTTCCTCTCTTTTCCTCTTGCTCTTTTCCACGCTATCCTTCTCCATTCCCTCCCCCACTTTCTGCTTCAAGATCGCTCTCTACCGATTTCCTTCCTCCTCTTTCACCCCTTCTTGGCTCATCGGTTCCCCCACTTTTCGCTTCCTCTATCTGTTTCTGCCTTTCAAACTTCCTATCTATTCGCCGTTCATTCTATCTTTGTTGCGCTTTGCGCACGATAGCCTCGTGCCTCGATGTATCGCGCTTTCCTGTTTCTGTTATTTCCTGACGTAGCGTTGGTTACAATTATCATTTTAACAAACTATCCTGGTTCTCCGAAATTTCTATTATTCATCGATCCGATCTATCGATTGTTCGGTGAGACGGATGGACTCGAACTATCGCGATTGGAACTTTGTTCGATCGATCGATCGTATTCCGTCTTTCTGTCTTTATTCTCTCTTCCTTTTTCCTTGCCTAGAAGATTTCGCTCCATTTGATTTCTCGTACTCGATTTCGATTATAGAAACGAATCTATTGGGAAACGCGCGTAAAAAGTTCATGATAAAATAGTCTGTAGCCGCGGGTCGAGAAATTCGTATTCGCAATTCATTTAAATTGTGACTTTCCTTCTGATGTTTGAGAACTAACGATCGTTTTACGAGTCAAGTGTATAGAAAAAATCCAATTTTTTGAAACTCATATTTAGCCAATTATTTTTTAAATACAAAACCACTTTTACTTAAATTTGAATAAACAAAACTTGCGCTTCAACAGAGTCAGCCGTATTCTTGACAAGTGTACAGTCTTTTTTTCAGCGATTAATTCGATTCCAGTTTGTAACGCGAAAATGTTGTGCTGTATTTCTTGTTGTATTTAATCACATTGTAATTACTTACTTTTTGCAAAGAAAATCTCTTCGAGGTAAACGTATGTTCGATGATATAACTTCAAAAAACGATAATGTACCTGTGTGTACATGTGTGCTTACAGGATCTTTTCTTTCTCTCCTCTTTTTCATTCACCTTTCAACTTTTGTCGTAAGCAAGATGAATTCGAAAATAAAAGTAAATCGTCATTAGAAGAAGTGCGAAAGATTCGTTTCAAAAACCATTATACCAGGATTTTATCGAATGAACTTCGAAGAAGGAACTACGGAAAACTAAGAACAAGCTTTTGGAATGCGAACATATTATTAAAACATATTATTAAAAATAAGGAAAATGAAAAAGATGAATTGAACCTCTGCGTTAAAAATTTATATGAAAACAATCGTGTCGTTAATGAACGTAAATTAACCCGATACGTTACTGGTTAAGTTATCGTTTCATCGATTGATCGCCTCTTATGTATATTTTCATTGTAAACAATTTATAGTTACAGAAATGTACATACTTATAAGCCTCAAATTCTTATAAACATTAAAAGACAAAATGAAATTACGTACGATATATGATTGCTTCGAATAGCTTTATCCATTCTTGTGACAAAAGGCAGGTTCTTTCTCTTAAGAAATACAAGTCTTTCTTCCTTTCGATTTCACCAAATAATACGAATAATGTAAACAAGAAGACATTAACCGCTATACATGTCGGAAAACTTGTCTCGACCGCTCACCGCGCTCGATCTATCGCAGTTGTATGTTTTTCTATCGACGAAAGATGTCATTACTAGCCAAATAAGATGTATTCTTTCGGAAATGTTTTTACTTTATAAATTAATCGATTCATCTTTTTTTTCAGAGTGACAATTTTGATATACATGGACAAATATTGCGAAAAATTTCGTATAAGGTCAAACGTTTTCTTATTCTATGTGCAAGAGAAAGCATTCTCATTCGACGAAGGAACGTGTATTTATAAAAGATTCCTTACAAACGTTACAAGTTTATTTTTTACAACTATAAAGTAGACAATACAAAATCACAATCGTGTTAACGGCACGGTCATAGTTGTCCGGCTACAGTTAACTACTACGATATTACGATAACAACGATCCATTTTCAAATGGCTGAATGTTTCGCTGAATTTCATAGAATCAGTTGCAGTAATCTATTTCACCCTGCAGCGTTCGATATTCGCGTGTAAATGTATCGTATTCTTCTTACATCCTCGGCATTAAAAAAAATCACGCGTCACTGCAACAATGTGCTTGCATATATTGAAAACGAAATTTAACTAGTTCTGGAAAGTTATTCGCAAAACTCTTCCCTTTTCTTGATCGATTTCCGTACAATTCATGCCATTTCTGCTTATAATTCTTCGTGTTTGGTAAAATCTTCCACATCTTCGAATGTTTCTAAAATAAAAGAGGACAAGAGGAATTTATAACAAGATTGATATATATAATACTATTGATATGTATAATGTTGCGAGAAGCATTGGTAAAGTATTGGCTATCGTTGTTTAATCGATGCGTTTAATCAATACCATTTTCCTCCTTCTCCGTTTGTCTATTCTCATTCTCCAGCTTCATCTGTAAGGCTTTTACTTCTTCATCGTAACCTATCCATTCCGGTAATATACGTACGGCAGCTTGTAATTTAGCTTCCTTAGTCATTGGATTATTACACTATGTGATGCAAAGATCGAACAATATGTTTAAGTTTACGTTAGAAATGTATTATCAACTAAATGTAACGAATCTATGATATAAACTTTATTTACCAAGTCTATAGTTTTGGCATATTTCTTGGATGCGTCGTCGCACCAAGTCTCACACCATAACCACTCCTGCGGCAGTGATTTAATACCCACTTGATGAATCATGTTATTGGGGAGATCCTAAAACGACGCGCTCATTTGTAATCGTTATATATTATTTAATCAAATCATTCCGGTATTACTGTTAGTATCGTACGGACTTGGTCCAAATTAGACAAACTATTAGGATCTTGGCTCAATGCTTGATACTGTCCCCTTAATCTGTCTCCGGCTGCAATACGTCGGAATCGCTTCAAATCTACCACGTACAGAGCACTGATGTGATAAGCACGCCCCTGTAAATGATTTCGCCAATAACCTTGTTTCCAAAATCGAAATCCGTCCATTTCTTTCCTGCTGTCACAAAATGGAGTGTATGCATATGGCGCGCCGCCGAGGTCCATGGTCGCCAATTCTTTTAAATCTGCCCTTACAACCTAACATAATACAATGTTATTACGATCGTACAGAAGTAACAGTAGTAAAAGCAAAGATAACGAAAATATTAATGATTTACAGTAATTGCTTGTACGTAATTATTATACCTGATCAGCATCAACGAATATTATCTTTTTAACGTTTAAAGGAAACAGCACATCCAAAAATAGTATTTTGTAACCCCATATGGTTCTTTGCTTTTCAGTTTGTTGATGGAGCCAGCGAGGCCATTTGTATTGTACCAATTCATATTCAAAACCATATTCCTTTGCCATATGTGGTAAAAAATCCTAAAATGAAGGAAGATTTGTTGAAATATGTCGTTTAATTTATTTATTAATTCCACTTCATAAACGTAATCGCTTACTTTTAACGTTGGTGATAGATAATTCTTCAGAAACCAGAATTTGACGGGACTTTTAGTATGCTTTATAACGCTTAACATCATAATTTTCAGAAATCTTTCATACAAGTGTCCAGAGGCTAAAGAGAAGATATTTAATTTTTCATCCTCATCGTCACTATCGTCTGCTGTCGTAAATGTCCTAATTTCGAAGAGAGCGATAAAATTAGGAAATGAAAGAAATTCAACTGTTTCTTTTTTTTTGTTGAATTTCAGTAAGGTATGTAACGTGATTGAATAACCGTACAAGTGTTGTATTCAAATGTATAACGCACGTTTAAGATGCGAAACAATTGGTAAAATAATTATGTATCTCTATACATTACGAGCAATATACGTTATATGCGATAATGTTTAAATAGTTGTTGAAAGCTTACCAAAATTTGGAAAAGCTAAAAAGAGAGAGAAAATAAACAGAAATTAAAGTTAGAGGATCGCCTAACACGATGTGCTAAAAATATTTCATATCTTTATATATACTTAGTGCCAACGCGAATTTAAAACTATTCTAAAAAGGCGTAGTCGACATACACCTATACAAAAGCGAACAGTGCAAGTTTTATTTACCTAGAAATAGAGTTCCATAAGCCAGAACCTTTATCGTCTTCCGATAAAAGATCCATTCCCACCTTGTCCGGCTTTTTCGATACTTTGACTTTCAACACGTGACTTCTGAGGGAACTTATAACAACCTTTACGTCATTGCCGTTTTGTAAAACATCTTGACCGCCAATAGTAGTAAAATCATAGATTTCTGCCGACCGTCCTTGCCGCAAACGCAATATCCATTCCCCTGGGTTTGCTTTAAGCTGAAAATATCCTAAGTTCGCCATTACTATAGTGTCCACCATAAGTGGTTGCTTTTCCGTTCCCAATGTGATTTGTAATCCGCGAGGTGGATTTCCGATTACTGCTTCGAAACAATGACCTTCAAGAAGTAAATGCTCTAATTCAAATTCACTGTAACAAAGAATTGTGGGTATACAACAAACACATTTTAATTGTGATCTATAGTTTCTTCCAACGTGATACACTTACCTGTGCACTCCAATCGCTACATTGTCCAATTTAATATTGTCTAAATCGTACACGCTCCTAACTACTTCCACTAACCAATTTTCTGGTGCGTGAATATACTGTGTCAAAAGAGATGAAGTTGGCAATTTTGTAAATTTTGCCATAGCCCCATTAACACGTCCGTCGGGGGAGAATTGTAACTGAGGTTCGAACACGAAACGATAAAAGCTGAAGTAATATAAATAAAATGCATAAATATAAAAGGAACAGCTCAATGTAGTAACATAATTTCGTATGAAATTAAAAGAACAGTATATAATATACCTTTTCAACGGCATATCGCTATTTTTGTCCAAACAGTTTAAAAACACTTTAACGTTACAGTTTAAAGATTGTCGAAGCGTTTTTAAAATCGGACCCAATTTTTGTGCACCGCGAGATACTGGATCAACGATAGCAATCAAGGTAAATGCCACTTCGTCCGAATTTGTTGCTGGAACCTTTATGGCGCTAGATATACAATCAGAATGTTAGGAATCGTTTAATTGTTTAAACTCGCTCATAAAAATTATTTTTTTACCATTTTCACACTCACCTATATTCATCACCGTGAAATGGAACGTGAAATCGGCTCCGCGTTTGAGGGTGCGATGCTAATAAGGATGTAATTTTCATTATCATATCATCGGTGACTTCGTTTTTTTCTGCACAAAAGATCATTACAACATTATATCATTCAAATAACATAGATACCACAGCTGTACATCATATGTATACGTTATCATAGACTAACTTCCGTACCATACTCATCATTTTCCAACAATTGTCCCTTTATTAATATTTTGAACAATTTATCATCATAAGTACTTTGACTGAATCTTTCCAAAAGCGAAAAATCTTCGCTTGTAAATTCTTCGCCCTCATCTAAAGGACCAATTAATCTTCCATTACACACGATCGCTCTAACTCCCTGTTGCAGGTTTAGTACCGTTTTCACGTACTGGCGATGTACAAACAATTCATCAGCTTGGTTTTTCAACTGTTCTTTTATAGCCTCTTCCTAATTTTACGATAATTTGTTAAATATTTATTAGCATGGCCAAATTTTTTCGTAAAAAAAAAAAAATAATTACCTCTATGTCAATTTTGCCGTTAGCAACATCTTCTTTAATTATGTTACGAATAAAACGTATAGCCTTATCTGCTGGCAGGCTATGTAACGTAGCTAGAACTATTTGATTAATATCAATTGTATTATCATCATTAGTACCGTCGAACGGATTAACGATTACACTAATTCTGACATCTGCATTCGAATCCTGAATCATAATCACCGCACAATTATATTTAAATATTAATGGAAATAATTTACTTAGTTACTTTATTGTACAACTCTGTGCATAAACAAGCGCGAGAAATCACTTACTATGTATTCAAGCGCCTCGCGTAATAATTGTCTCCCTTCTGCATCATTTAAATTTGCTACAACCCAAAAGGTATATAAATGGTGTACACTTGTGCGTCGTGTTACGTATAAATAACGCATTCTATCCATCAACCATGTTGATAAATCTTGAGGACTCCATTTACTATAATCTTTATCGTTAGGTATAGTGCCGATTAAGTTTAACCATGTGTGTTTCTCCGGTTTCAATATTCGCTCGTTCAAGCTATAACAAGTGAATAAAGATAATAAACGAACTGAAATCGCAAGGATCATATTCGTGAATTTTTAAATAAAATCTCATACCGAGGCATAACATTTGGCTGATTCATAATATAATCGACTACATCATCTCCTTCGGTTATTTCTCCTCGATACACTGCTTTTTGTAATGCAGGCGTTTGTGACATGATCGTAGATAGAACAGCTTCTTCGAATGAGTTGGCGTTCAATTGTTCGGCTGACAAAGGTACACCATTTAGCAAAGCTTGCGGAAATTTTTTAAAACCAGATCGTTTTACGAAATCATTAGCTAAGTGACGTCCTACGTCATATTCAGATTCTTCACCGAGGATATAATTTACGTTAGCAGACGAATCTTGCACTTTTATTGCTTTCTTTACATCTTCTACGTCTGGACCTTCTGAACCAATATAATTTCCTAACTAAAATTATACATCATGAATTACAAATATCGTTCATTTCATATATATGATTAATGAAACTACACAACAAATGAACGAATACTGTAAGGCCTTACATTTATCAGAAATTGCAAAGCATGTTCCGATCCTTTAGTTTCCGCAAAGTAATGATATGCATTATTAACGGCAACACTAGCATCAGTCAATCCAGTTATAGAAGTATCGTGATTCGTTACGAAAACAAAACCTACTCTTAATGGTGCGGAATGTAGATATAAAGATTGTGCTAAAGTTATCAAAGGGGTGGATTCTCCGCTTAAAGGGTCGATAATTAATACCTATTGAAATATACAATTTTTAGATAGATTTGTATCTTTACAACTGTCTAACATTACATTGTAATTATTCTAGATCATCAACGTTTACAAACCAAATTGTACAAATTTCTTCTAATATTTCTAAGCATGCCAGGAAAAGTTGGTCTTAATAATTCTGTTAACGACGACGACCATCTTCCGTAAGCTGAATCCTGTTCGATATCGTTTACCCAAATTATTGCCGAATCTCTTATATCCATTGCGAATTCTTGTTTATCCATGTTAGTGGACAAATCCAAAGTCAGCAATGTACTCATCTCCTTGTTATTAAATCCTATAAATGAGATGTACAATAATGTTATAGTTCATTTTGCACTTAACGAGTTATTCCTAACAATACAACATGTGTCGTACCGATTTTACGAAGAGATTCCATTACTCTTAATTCGCTTCTTAATGATTCTAAAAGACTAAGCACATCTACTGCTTCTAGATCAAAAAATAAACCATTAATAAAAAGTGCAGTATCTGTGGGTTGTATATTTAAACTTGTAGAAAACATTGCTTGATTGAGTTTCATTTCTTTCTTCATTTCATTATTCACTTTTGTTCTAATTAGAGATTTTGCCTTCAAATAAATTAGGATATCATCATTAACAGGAAATACTAAACAACATAAAATAAAAGCGTAAAATGCTCGCAACAGGATCAATAATATGTATTGTAAAAAGATATTTACTTGCATTGGAAAATTTTGCGAAATATCCGTCAAAACATTAATGGCTTCGTTTGTGGGAGAATTCATTATCCTTTCAGCTGCTTGATGACTTAATTCTTGAAACTGCCACACTTTTAGAGCACCAATTTCATGACTAGTTTCAAGTAAATGAGTTTGTAACTTATCCAGCTCTAATTGCTTATCAGGGTACAAGTTTCTAAAATGATCAAGCCAAATTATAATAATAGAAAATGAACGAAAAAGTAGGTAAAACGGAATAAATGAAAAATTGAAAACGTATATATACTTCAAAATTAATACTAACGTGAAAATCAAATTTATATGCATATTAAGATATAACCACCTTACTTTAATGTTACAAAATTAATTCCATCTATTTCTTCTGTGCTATCATTAGTGGTCTCTGAGTCTTTTCCTGCATTATCTTTGATATCCGAATCATCTGTTGCTTTATATTCTGTAGACTTCATTTGCAGTTCTACTCCATATCCCGATAAACGTACATTTTTGTCTATTCTATCCTGCAAAGACCATAATAAAAGACGTTAAAAGTTTGTTATTACTGTTACACCAGGTATAATTACAATACCTTTAAATAATGTCGCAAAATATAACTAATTCCTCTATTTTCTGTAAGACTTTTTAATTTGTTATGAAAATCTGAGAATTTTGGTGTTCCAATCTGGCCATACAATATAATAATCTTTTCTGATTGCTGAGACGTATGATAACGATGATCTACACTATATGTATCTGGACGTAACCAAGTATCCTATGTAATAAGTGATAAAATGCATAAATGAAATCAATTAAAATAGATACATGTATCAAATGTTTACATGTCACCTACTTGACTAGCTAGTTCCTCTAATTCTTCTAAAGAACAAGTAAACACTCCACCGACATCTACTACATTATAACAATCAAAGATGGAAACATTTTTATTTTCTGCCATTTGTGTGAACATTTCCACTCGTGCCGAATAAATTCGTAAAGACAGACCCAATTTCATTAATGCTACCTCTGACTGAGATAAATATTTTTCAGCAAAAGCAATAACAGCATCGTAGTTTTCTTTTTCTGTAACTACAAAAAAGAAAACAACATGAAATTATATTGCTGCTAATTTAATGAAGGTTAAGATAGATGAAAATTACCATTTCTTAAATCATAATTGGCAAAAGCATCTATGAATTTCCAAAAGTAACTTGGATTTTCATCATTTAGATATTCAGCAGCTTCAAGAGCTAAGGGTGTTTCTTTCCATTTTGCATCTATTAGAGTGGTTACATATTTATTTACCCTTCTGTCTGCTTTAATGTATATCACACACAGTAGTAAAAAATAAAAAAATATAATTAACCGCATCTGCAAATAATATTAAGATTATTAATAGTAGGAAAAGTAGTAGTAAAAATGTAAGAGGTTCGATAAGGTTGAAAAATATGTTTCCGCGACAATACTATTATGTTTAGAATTTGAGAAGAATAAAAGTTATACTTTTGATTTGCTATACAATGAAATAGCCGAACTACTAAACGTATCTGTTATACATCAATATTCATTGTTACGAAGATATGTTTCTATCATTATATTCAAATAATTGATAGATCAAAGTGATACAATTTCCTATTCATATCGACGTTAGACTATCGAATAAAACGAAAAAAAATGTAAATAATAAAAATTATTAAAAATAAGAATAATATAATTAATAGATTTTTATGATGTTGTAGTATGGAAGAAAAGGATTCTTTTAATAAAATTTGCATACCTTTAAATTTACCATGAAACTCATATTATGGAAGAATTGGATAACGATAATAGCCAATCCATGCAGAGCACGTGCGGTAAATATCGTACTGGTGAAAAAGTTCGGCTACGTAAGCTACCTTTAAGTTTATACGTGGTAGTACGTAGTATTAGTATGAATGATTATTATACTCATAGCATTCATTTACAGATTTCACAAACTAGATGTGACGATTTATTAAAATATATTATCAGATATCAGTAATATATTCCTTTTAAACGAATGAATCATTTTCAAAAATGTATTACTTGCAAACTTTTAATCTAGGACTATCGATGTGCTTCTGAAACAAATCTATAAATTTCCTAGATTCTTTTATGCAACCTAAACCAAAAAATATTTTTTTCTTCTCTCTTATGATTTTGTATAGTATTCAAATTGTACGAGAATAGGTCAAGAAGAACTTGTTTTATAGTTAGACGGTTTTAAATGTAATGTAAATGAAAAGTAATATTGTATGTTATGAAAAACAGTTAAACGTTACCGATACTGATATCATAAGAAGGCTTGGTACATATGAAGCAGTGTAATAAAAACAATTTAATACTTTTACTGCGTTTAAGAAAGAAACAAATAATTGCATTATGACGATAATAGATTACGTGCAAACTTTATCCGATAATCCATATTTCGGAGCTGGTTTTGGTCTATTTGGGTTAGGTGCCGGAGCAGCGATGTTACGAAAAGGAATGCAAGCAGGAATGATACTATTTAGGTATTATTTACATCCAAATTGTATGTTATCTGTCATTCAATAATATATGATGTTGAATTTTTTTCAAACATAGGCGACATTATATGATCACTCTAGAAGTTCCATGCCGTGATAAAAGCTACCAATGGCTTTTACAATGGATTACACACAAAGGTGCAAAAGAAACACAACATCTGTCTGTTGAAACAAGTTTCGAGCAAAAAGAAACAGGTCACATAAAAACTAGATATGATTTCATACCAAGTATTGGAACACATTTTATTAGGTTAGAAATAACTGTACTTATCACTGCAATATTTCATTTTGCAATGACAAGTATGATACATTGTAATAATGGCTAAAATTACAATAGTTAAATGTTTTCATAATTGTATTATATATTTAGATTAAATGTAAATTATTTGTTTAATGTTCAAATAAATAGATATGAAGGGAATTGGATAAGGGTAGATCGAACTAGAGAACAACAATCGTTGGATATACAAATGGGTATACCATGGGAAACGGTACAACTTACAGCCTTAGGAAGAGATAAAAATATCTATTTTAATATTTTAGAAGAGGGTAAGAGGCTAGCTCATTATGCCAGGATTGCTAAAATATTATTGAATAACAAATATTTATTTGTAGCCAGACAGATGGCATTAAGGGAGTATGAAGGCAAAACGATAATGTATACCGCAATGGGAAGTGAATGGAGACAATTTGGACATCCCAGGAAACGAAGACCACTAGATTCGGTCGTTTTAGATATTGGGGTAGCAGAAAGGATAATAAGCGATTGTCGTGAATTTATGACGAATCCTGCATGGTATAGTGATCGTGGTATGTAAATAATAGTACGAGGAAACATCGCACAAAGTACAAAACACGTTTACCGTTGGTGTAGGAATTCCGTATCGGCGAGGGTACTTATTATATGGCCCCCCGGGTTGCGGAAAATCGTCGTTTATTACTGCGTTAGCTGGTGAATTAGAACTGGGCATTTGTGTTTTAAACTTATCAGAGCGAGGTTTAACGGATGATAGATTAAATCACTTACTAGCGGTAGCCCCGCAACAAACTATTATTCTTTTGGAAGATATTGATGCCGCATTTGCTAGCCGAGAAGAAAGCAAAGAAAGTAGGTGGCAAATCTGAAGCAAATTCATAAGATTGTACATAATTTTTTACATTAAAGCATTATCAACCTCCGCTTATTTTGTTACAGTGAAAGCTGCGTATGATGGTTTGAATAGAGTTACATTTAGTGGTTTATTAAATTGTTTGGACGGCGTTGCTTCTACGGAAGCAAGAATTCTATTTATGACAACCAATTACTTAGAAAGATTGGATCCTGCGTTAGTTAGGCCTGGTAGAGTAGATGTAAAAGAGTATATAGGTACTATATTTTTAAACGATAAAAAATGGATCGAATTTTTATGGTACTGAATCAATGGTACTCTCTGGTTTCAGGCTGGTGTAGCGCAAAACAAGTGGAACAGATGTTTTTGAGATTTTATAGGAATATTGACGACAGAGCAAATAAACTTGCTAAACAGTTCACAGAAACTGTAATATCGCAAAATAAACAAGTTAGCCCAGCGCAAATTCAAGGATTCTTTATGTTTTATAAAAACAATCCTGATGATGTACTAAAAAATGTTTCACACATATGGGAACTTACGTGATGAATCGTATTATTAAGTAATGTAGAACATCATTTTGCACGACAAATTCTTACAGCGACACGTTGAATAGTCATAAGAAATATGCATGTAAGGATAAAAAAAGTATACAGTTTAAAACATCGTAGACCATTTGTTTTCATCCCTGAAACTTGCGTAAAGACGAAAGTAACAATACCAATAATAATAATAGCATTAATAATAATAATAATAATAATAGTGATACAAATTTTCTACTTTTACAGTCATTTATTTCACGTATTTCATTACCACATTGTGAATGACGATTCAAAGATAAAATACATTGTATAGCAAAATAAACATTGTATAACTTTTCTTTTATTTTTATCAATATATCTGTTTAATTACGATCATATGCGCAATATATTTACACAATACTGACGTGTTTTTTTCACGTTGACTTAAATTGATTCAATTAGTTTCATTCAACATGAAAATTCTTTAAATCGATGGAATTGATGCTGGTAATAATAATGATTGATAAGTAATAATTTCTAATACTAAATTCTTAATAATAAGTAATAACTTTAAATTTAAGGAAAATATTTTATAAAAGTTTATACTTAGAATAACATTGTTTTTTCATATATGAATTTCATCAAAACTTATTATCCATGTAAAGGATGGATGTCGATTACATCGTTATGCGTTAAAAGTGAACATTTAAATGTCTTCGTTTCACAATTTCGATTCGGTACAAAAAGCTTTTCCATCATTTTACGATATTGCATTTATAATCATATAAATGATACATCCAATCTTAAAAACAATACAGAGAAAATAATCTTTTTTCCATAAATCTCATATTCTGTTCGGTATCTATTAACAATTAAATTAATTACTTCTAATGAATTAACTTATATATTTATGAGGATGATTAAAAGATTAATTATAATCGATTAAAATTTTACCTACTATTTCAATTTTTACAGATCGTTAGTTACTCGATAATATCCATTTGAGGCTTTTATTCCAAATTTTAGCAATCGTAAAAATACTGAAATATTTCCACGAATGCGACTTACGATTAACAAATTAGCTTCACGTTACTATCATAAATAGTATAAATGTAAAGCTAATGTAATAATTTGAGTTTTTGAATCGAACGTAAGATGTGATAAAAAGTTAAAAAATTTGGAACAATACGCTGTAAAAGTGATTTGGAAGTTTATGATTTAATGATATTCGTGTAATCGATGATTAGAAACTCCAAATGTACGGTTCATAATTTAAAGGATCTGGTTGTTCCATGTGTCCTGTGTGACTGTTACTTCCAACCATACACGATGGATAGGCAACTCCGGTATTTCCTTGACCCGATACGGGTGTCACAATTGCTGGTGCTAATCGACAGTCAGGCCTTTGTTGCATCATAGAACTGATTGGCTGTATCGATTGAGATGCTGGCGGAGGACCTGCTGGCGGATGCGATTGAGATTGAACAATTGTAGAAGGTGGAGCGGAAATATTATGAATAGGTTGTATTATATTAGAACCTGAAACATAGTTTGCCACTAAAAAGTGGTTTTCCAAAATTATCAATTAGTTTTGATCACACGTACAAAAGTAATACATTATGATATTATGTTAAGGTATGTTGATCTTACTTGTTCCAGGATTATGGAATGATAAAGTAGTAGTTTGTTCCGACATTATGTTTGCAGGTGGTGAAACCATCTTCACTGGAACCGCTTCGGGTTTTCTTTTTCTAGTAGATAATCGTTTCTGCGTGTTGTTTGATGCTTGATCGCGTTTCTTATTATTGCTTGACTTTTTCTTCTTCTCGCCCGGTGGTTTTGGCTTATTCGGTCGATTTCCACTTGGTTGCCAAAGGTGTACAGTATGTACAGCATTTCCTTCTCTAAAATAGTTGACCATTGCTTGATACGGATAAATATGTATATATATGTATGTATATGACGTGTGTACTAAAGGATAATCTTTCCTTTGTTTCTCTTTTCTTCTTTTTTTTTTACTTTCCTCTTTTTGGTTTCTTAATTAACATACTAACCCCTGTTTCTTTCCAAGCTTCCAACTGTGTATACCGGCTTTATGCAGCCTTTCCCTGATTGTATCAACGCTACATTTTAAACCCAGAGCAGGCGCAACATGTTTAGCTGCAGTCAGCGGTTGCTGAGTAGCCATAGCAACAATGGCTTCGTCTTGTTCTTTAGTAGTGATTCGTCGACGACCCTTTCTTTCTTTAGTTTGTACGTTGCCTTCTTTATGCCAACGTTCTAACCATCTTTTAACGGTACGTTCCTATTTAATAACGAGCATTGCGTATACGGGGCTACCCTCGAGATCATTGTAATTATGTGAATCCATCAAGACGAACATGTTCCTTCTTACCGATCTGTCGATTGCAAGCGCGATAGATAACGTGGATAAACCAGCTTCGGACATGCCGATCATACGATTTCGAATTTCAACGCTGGTTTCCAATGTCCCTTTTGCTTTCCCGCCTTTTTTTTTCCTTTTTTGTAGTTGATTTCTCGTGCTACCTTCTTCCGATGAAACTTTATCCTGATTAGATTCTATGCTAGAAGACTGATTATTATCTTGAGAACCACGAGTATTAGAATTATCAGAAACTAAATTCGTACTGGTTTGTGGACTAGTTAACTGAGAATGTAAGTGATCACGATGCTGCTGTTGTTGCTGCTGAACTTCTGCTTGAAGTTGCCCTTGTTGTTGATCAAGATTATGAGTCTGATCCGTGATCGTTTGTTGTACTTGTTGGATATGGTGTTGCCGTTCCTGTTGTGCGTGCAACTCTTGGAGCTGTTGAGAGGAAACTACTTGTTCGTGAGATATTGAATTTTGTTGACCCTAATGTTTGGGAAAAGAAATGATATATCGAACGAATGTTTATATAAGGACAAGCAGAGTGTATACAAACCTGTGGATAATGATGACTTCCTTGTACTAGATCTAGAGGCCAATTCTGAGAGATACTCAGACCAGGATGCTGATAAATAGGTTGCGTTTCTTGAGTTAAACTCAGAGTATTGCCAAAATCTGTCTGAGGGTGTAAAGGTTGAGGCGGTGCTTGTATTTCATTGGCTTGCGTCTGCGAAGCACTTTGTTGTTGATATATAAATGCCTGTTGTTCGTTAGAAGACTTTACGCTTTCCGTTGGTGCTCCATCTCCAACATAAACGTCTTTGGCTCTAATTTTCCTTAGTGGATTTCTCTTTTTAGCTATACTAGCATTCTTTTCATTCTTATTAGGATCTCTGGAAGACTTTTTTTTCCCTAATTGCGTTCCAGTAGGTCTCCATACAGGTTGTTGTATAGCAACACCATCCGTATCGCTGCGAATGGAAAGGCAGAATCGAATGGCGTAAACAGAATAGGGTATTAACGTTTAAAAAGTAACAGGTAACATCGAAAAAACTAACCCGAGTGGGATTCTTTGCATGTATTTTCGCGAAGGACTCCAATTATGAATTCCAGCTTTATGTAACCTTTCGCGTATAGTATCGACAGAACAGGTAAGTCCTAAAGCAGGAAGTACAGCTTTTGCTGCCGTTATCGGTGTCTGTGTGGCTAGTCGAACAATTGCTTCGTCTTGTTCCGCTGTTGTTGCTCTCTTACGTCCACATCGTTCTCGAGTTTCCACCGTGCCTTCTTTGTCGAATCTGTTTAACCATCTCTTTACTGTACGTTGCTAAAACGATAAAACACAATGTGCATAATATCGTATGTTTCATCGAAAGTAATATGATGCAGTCTTTGAAAACTACGTACCGAACAATTTACGGCGGCTGCAATTTCTCGCAGGCCTAAACCTGCTTCATACATTCCTACCATTCGATTTCTTAATTCCGGCGTTGTTTCATGCACTCCTCTCGTTTTTCCCATTTTGTTTCAAGTTACCGAATCGTTTCATCCAGAACAAGCGACAAGAGTGTCGCAAAAAATTTTAAATTTTACGCGAAAAGTGACGTAAGAATAGGATGGATCACGTGACAATGGCAGTGCTCGATCAGAAAGTTTTCCGAAATTTTAATTAGGTTCCTGCGATATCCTTTTCGTTTGTCGCGCGATCTTCAAATTTCGAAAACTTCCACATCGTATCATTCGTACTTCGTGACCGAAGTTCTGCTACGAACGTATTTTAAAAAGCATTGTTTCTTTCTTGTCTTCGACATGGTATCGTGCTAGAAATGGATCGAAATGTTGGCGTCGACGGAATGCAATTGGAACGTTCAACGAACTCGACTTCATTCGATAAATTTACCTTGATTATCTTCTTCCAATTGAGATCATTCATTCAGTGTTGCAGATCATCGACGACACTTTATATTTTCACTCTCGATATCCGTTGTATACCTCGTTTTGGCCGAAATGCAGTCGCTCGAAGAAAACGCTGTAGTCAATACAACTTCAGCTGTACAGTCTGTCGAGATTCGTTTGTCCTTGTTTTGTCTTTCGCGATTCCAAATTCGTCGAAGCATCGCTGTTTAAAAACTTCTTCTCTCTGAGGAAATATTTGAAATGCGACACAGCAAAACCACGTAATGATCGCTATTTAGGCTTTGAAATGTTTTCAATTTAAGAACTGAAACAAACGTGCGTTAGAATGCGTCAATATTAATTCGGTCAGACTGTACTGTGTATGTCATCGACCGCCAACAGCTCGTCGGAATCGTTTCATCCGTGGAAAATCGAACAAATTTCATCCGACTGAAAGATTTCCAAATAAACGAACGCCCGAAGGAAGATCTCTTGCAAATCTAATCAAATTTACCTGTTATTCTATGGAAAAAGAACGGCTTATATTCCGTCAATACTAAATCAGCTGACTGTATATCCGCGAGCAGCGGGAAAGATACAATCGTTAAAAAGGTTATGTTAAATGAGAAAATTGATCACGCGACAAACACGACATTTCGACGGACATTGAGTTAACGATCATTGTGCAAATTTCGTAGAATGACCTCGTTCTTTCGATGACTAATATATGTGTATATATATATATATACATGTATATGTATCAGTATTACTACGACTCGCGTTCGGCCAAGTCAATGGTCAATAATTTTAAAAGGCGACTGTACTCGAGACAACGTTACTGGCGATTCGTTCGGCTATATTCGCCTACCTTCGCCGGAATTGTATTGACCCACGAAATGCTTCCCTTGCTTATTTGACGCGTGATTCGCGCGCTGAATAGATATGTTAGGTGTACGTTTATTCGTATTTTGGCGCGAATATTTTACAAAACCTTTCTCGTTCTTTCCCTTTGTTTCTGTTGATGTTAAGATAATGTGTCAAAAATACGCGATTGCGAATCAAAAATCAGAACGCACGATCTTATAACTGCCTATCGATTGTACAACTCGAATCTCGTTGTTGCGAGTGGGCTTAGAAATAAAATTAAGGACGAAAACTTTCGTCGGTGATCAACCAAACAGACGAAGTTCTGGGGTAAAGAGCTGAATGAACACGATGCATTTTCGTTTGTTGGTATTTGGTTCTCGTTCGATGGTAGTTGTGAATAAGCTTCGTTCTTTTGCAATTTGTAAACGACGAATGAATAGGAACGAAACGAGTCATTTGAATCGGTTGGATGTGTTAGAGATAAGAGGAATTACATAGGGTCAGATCGCAAAATGGTAATATCCGCCAATCAAATCTGCATTTATGCGTACACCCTGGCCTATATATGTAGAATCGAAAGGTTCGTTCACCCGTGTGTCTTTCGACTTTGAACAGACGGTTTAATCGTCGGGGTTCGAAAAATAGTTTAACAAGATAATCGATGCGATGATCGAAGGCAAGTTAGGCAAAGACGCGATCCGTTTTGTCATCTATCAACGGAACGAGGGATATAATCGAACGAGTGTACAGCGTGGACTAAATTTCGCAGCGAAGGTGGCGACATGAGATTTCGAGGTGGAGAGATCTCCCCCTTGTTCGGTCGATCCATCGCCGTCGACCGTAGACGTTCAGTCGCGCCCTCGCGCTCACCGACATCGCTAATCGTCGTTACTCTTTCTCGCCCTCCGAACGTAACGTCGGGTCGTCCAGACCACGTTATTTCATTCGTGATTAGCTTCGATTGGAAATCAGTCGTTCCGACATTTCTTTCCGACTTATATCGTTCCGATATCAGATACGAATCATGAATTACACGGTATTGTTGAGCTTGTTGATCGTCTGTTGGATTCGGTTGCCAGTAGTTCGTTGTGGGGTACGTAATACATCATACCACGTTTAAAATATTCTCTTTCCATCTTGTTCTTCGCAGTCGATCCTGTTTCGATCTATTTGATGTTTGTTTTTACTTGTGAAATTCGAAAGAAGTAGGAAGAGCGATGGTCGCC